TCATCAACTCGAGGAAACGCCCTCTTGACATTTTCTTCGTGACGATCCAGGGGGTGGTCTCGGTCACCTGCCACAACTCATCAGCCTGCAAAGCCACTGCAGGCCATAAAAAACCAACATCCGGCAAGGCTTCATGGAGGACGAAGTCTTTCACAATCTTCAAAAGGCCAGCCCCACGAAAGCCCAACTCAGGCATAGCCCACTCGTAGGGAGGTCGGGTGCCCTGACGCCGAGCCTTCCCCTGTGAGCACTTGAAGATGAGGAAAGTGTCCGCCTCTCCCACAAAGCTGGAGCGTTGAAAATGTTCAAACCTGATGCAGGAGGTCGCTGCCCACACGAACATCGCCAGGAGCAGTAGGTGCGTACCTGACGCCTGACGAAGGCGCAGGAGCAGGTTTACCATCTCCCAAGGTTGCAATTCCTGCTTCTGCTGAATCGCATGGTTCAAGGGGAACAACTTGTACGGTTGCAACAGCCAATGATCCAGCTCAAATGGGAGGGCGAAATGCTGGCGGAACCACTTCAGGGCATGGAACATGCTTGTAGCTGCTGTAGGGCCCCCGGCCGCCACGGCCTTGAAGAAAGCACTCAACTGAAGGGGTGTAGGGGCACGAACATGGAACTGATTGTCCAGCGCATAGGTCCTCCACCTTCTGAGGGCGCTCACCAGAGCAGCCGCTCGTTGAGGCGACACGCGGCTAGCCGCTGGCATAACGGTCTCCTGGAGGAGTTGGCGGCGAACGGGATCTCTCATCATGGCGCGGTCGACCCCCAATTCCGCTAAGTCGAGGAAATCTGCCACCAATAACTCAAACATCGCCTCCAGCTTGGCGTTCTTCTGCAACACCTCCTTCGCGAAAGGGTTTTGGGAGGCATCATGAAGCATAGTGGGGGCTGCCGAACCCGAGCCTGTGGAGGTCAAATGGCGGATCCTGACGCCTGAAGGTGGCACTGTGGAATCCGGGCCGGACTGGACCAGGTGAGTCGAGATGCACGACCTCCGATGATCCTCCACACGCCGTTGGGCTTTGGCACGGGTGCTGTGAGCCCGGCCTGAAGCCACCGTCCAAAAGGCCGCCACCGCGAACTCCTGGTCGGGAGGCAGAGAACCAATCTCGCTCTCCACTTCCTGCAGGAGCTCCTGGCTGCTCCCCCAAATACCAATAACATCGGTGCATGTCTGGGCGCCGACCAGGACCAACAACTCACGCAGGCCATCAGGCTTGTCTTGAAGCAGATCCTGGAGTTCCTGCTCCATTGGTTGGCCCGGCCTGAGCGCCTCACAGGGCATGGAGGATGTACTCGCGGACGGCCCGCTCGGAGATGCCAAGGTGCTCCGCGAACGTGGCAATGGGGATCGCGACCTGGGCCTCACGGAAGGGGGGGAACTCCCGCCCTTGCCCCGAAGCCTGAGAGGTGGATGGTGTCGAAGGTGTCCGGGCTGTGGGTCTCCTCGACGGCATTGTAACCAGCAGTCCACGTGATGGCGAGCTGGCTGCAGGCTCGCCCACTCTGTGCGCAGTGCCACACTGCTGACAGAGTGCGCTGGAGTCGAGCGGAGCGCTCAACAAGCAGCCCTCACACCACAATGTAGTCCAAGGCCCACAAGCCCGCGCAGAGAGCGAATCCAATCGACTCTCCGCGGGAAGGTCCAGTGGGTCCCATCGGCGGCACGGCCAAAAGAGAAAACCCCCGGACCTTCACTTGAGCCAAAATGGCATTCAAGTGAAGGTCCTAACACTTGCATGTTTCAGATCCCAAGGTGTCCCTTCCCAACCAACCATTCACCTTGGTGGATAAAAATCCATCTTAAAGGACCAGTCGAAAGCCTTCCTGCCCTTCTTGTGACCAAAATATGCCACAAGAGCTTGGTAGTAGAGGTCATAGCCTGAGAACTACCCCGATAGCACCATGACTTGCTGCCTGCACGGTGCATCATCACGGGATCACAAGGAGTTCCACGCATACCCAGTCCCACTCTCGATTGGAGCAAGCCTCCCTCGGCGAGTGGTCAGTTTCAGTTTCTTTGCATCTCAACCCGGCACACTACCGACCGACCACCAGGACGACGGAGCAAACGACCGTGTCTTCTGTCTCAAAAATCGTGGAAGCCAAGAGTTAGGAGGATCAACAGTAATTACAAACAGGCGACCTCATTTCAATCGAACCCTAAAACATCCCCAACACAACTATTCAACTATACAAAAAAAAGGGTGGTCGTTTCCCAAAAGAACCAACGGTTTTGATCTATGACCATCTGAGACCGCACCGTTTTGGTCGCTTCACTTCGCTGTTCCTCGGCTGTTCTTCGCTGTTCTCCCGCCCCCGACGTCCTGAGAAGAAGGTTCTCCAGTAGTGCATCGCAGGGAGCAGTGGAGCTGCCGGCAAACGGCTGATGCCCACAGTGGACCGGATGGACCAGCTTGGCCAAAACTCGGACCCCAAAGAGGCCCGGCGACTGGGACCCCTACAATCTCCTAATACATCTATTCATACCTAATTCCTCTTCGTCTGATTTGGAGCAGAGGCCTGGGGCCGTTTGGGCGGTCGAAAAAAAGACAGGTTCTGTGTCAAATTTGGGTGATGCAGGCATCTGATCTGGCGAACTTCATTGGTACCAAATCATATGATAGAATACCTCCAGACAAATACCTTCGCCAAGTGTTCGGCTGCATCAAGAATCTCTTTAAGTTTTGTGCTGCATTTGTGCACGTTCAATTTCTCGTATGATGTAAGTCTAATCCTCTTCCTGACCGTCTGTAATTTCAAACCTCCAGCCCTCCGGTCGTTGCTCCGCGGCGTTCCGTGAAACGCCCGCGAATTGGTTTTCGGTTGCACCCGGGGTCAGGAGGCGAGCACAGTGAGCGGTTCAGTACACCGAGACAGGAGACTCATCCAAAACATGAAGGATTACAACCCCGGTCCATGGAATTGAGGATAGGCCCCGGTCCACGTGCAACGCGACACAGAGAAGCATCTTGTTCATGCCGCACGCTTGGACATGTTTCTTTGAGGGACAGGTACTTACCATGGCCAAACAAATGAAACATTGATATTGGCTGACTTGCCCTTTTATTTTGCGTCTTGAACAAAGGCGAAGCAGGCCCTGTGTTTGAGACGAATTGATGTAGAAGATTTCATGAGATCTTTCACTTACCTTCTCAACAGAGTATATAATTAGGCCCTCTGATGCGTTGGACTGCATCGTTCACCCCTGCTACCCATGTCTCAAGTGTTCTCTCCTCATCTTGCGGGGCTCGCGCGTTCACATGCGTGTCGTCTCGTCTGGGGCCCCGATCCGATGGGGGGACGATCGGGAAAAACGTCGACAGAAGAAGACTTCCCCAAACCCAGTGGGGCGATGTCTGAGCGAGTATGGTGGATAGAGAAAGGAATGATAGATCGTATTAGGCACAACAAAGGCGAAAACACAACACCAATAATGCGCTGATGGAGTCTTCACGTCTGGCAGAACGTGCGTTCTTTCGGGTCGACTGGTTGCCCTTCCTGAGAGCCCGGTTGCTCCACCAGCACTTCAAACGGACAGCCGCCACGGCACGGAGAGAAAACCACTGCAGGGACCGGTCTCTTCAGGAGGAAAGCGACAGCCAACCGGGTGTTGTCAGGTGTTTTACACGGTGCAGCTGTGCAGCGGAATTTCGGAGCTTCTGACATCGCTCACCTGCAGGGACGGAGGCAGAATGCCACCATCTCACCGTGGCGACCCGCTGGCTTTGAGATTTATCCTCGAAGGATTTGCCGACGAAGAAAATGGATTGAACGGAGAGTTCTTCCCACTGGGTCTTCCCAAAAGCTCTTTGGCCATCGCTAGTAGGTTGGAGGCCATCGCTTCTAGGGTGGAGGCCATTGCTAGTGTGGAGTCTCAAGATTGGAGGATCACATCGATATCACTCCTGACATCGGTTTGTATTTTGATAGGGAGACACTCAACCAATGGCTTGTGGTCGACCATCGAAACGTCAAGTCTTGGGGTCGAATTGGGAGGTCTCGCTATGCGAACACACACTCGCATGGTCTGCAATGATGGGGTGTTTGTCTGGTTCCCTTGTGGTTGGCTTTCCTTCTTGGAGTCTCACAGGCTTCCCCCTGGCAAACAAAGCCACCAAGAAATGAGGACATAGCTGAGATGCTGGAGAACCTCTCGACTGGCAAGAAAGCACCCTCCACAATGAACGCGCTGGCGTGGTGTATCTGGGAAGGGATTGGGATCGAAATACCGACGTGACATGGTATCGGCTTGGAACCATTCAGGCCATGCCCACTTCACCAAGCGCAAAGAGCTCCATCACTTGCTGACGATTTTTTTCTTGGCAATTGCTCAGCAAAGGGACATCCTTCTGGAATCCTTGAACCATATGCACCATAAAGCATGTCTAGACATGCACGCGTCTGGCAACATGCATTGGTAAGCAAGCACGGTTCGTCCCTCGATTTCAGGTGTGTCAAGCGAACCACAGTAAGGTGGAAGAGGTTCTGACGGAAGATGGCATGAAGCTACTTGCCATCTTCCCATTCTTGCCAAACTCTACTAATTAGTAGCGATGCACCTGTTACTAATGGCGATGCCCTTGTTGCCGGTAGCTTCACCCTGTGCTTTGAGTTCGACTCTCAACAAACTCGTTGCTTTGAGTTCGACTCTCAACAAACTCGTTGGCAAATCCTTCAGCGGCCCAATCAACGCTCTTTGTCGAAGAGCGCGGCCGAAAGTGATCGCGGATTGCAGGTTGTCTGGATAGTAGACCATTTCCACCGGCCTGCTGCCAGATTGGAAAAAGGGTGAGATTCGACCACTTCTCTGACTTATCTCTAGCGATTGTCCCTATGGTGGAACTGAGACAGAGCTTGCTTGGATGTTGGAGGCATCTAAGGACAGAAAAAAGACTTTCTTGGGGACCCGAGCTGATTGGATTCCGAGTGTTTGCCGATCGCTTCTGGGCTAAGCAAACGTTGATGGCTCTACATCCTCCACTCCGGCTCGACCCGAACCGCCCAAACGCTCGACCCGAAGCGCCGCCGAAGCGCCCATCCAGTCAACCTGTCGGAAGAGCTCGCCAAAACCAAGGGCGAAGACTTTGCGAGGCTCCAACCCCGGTGGACCACTCGGTGGAGCGATGCTGAAAGCAGCTTTTTGAACTCGCTCAACACACTCGAGTGGCCAAGCCGGCGTGGGCGTGGGGTTGCGAGTGGCCAACTTGAAGCACTTTCTTCACTGGGAGACGAGACAAGAAGTGGTCCATTCATGGAAAGTGGATGAAACATGGAGAACAAAATGGAGAAAGGAAGGTGGGTCCGATCATGTCTGAACCTGCATCACCAGCTCTTTCTACATGGCATTGGCTCGCCATATCGTTGACTTCAATATACTTCAAAACAGTCACACATGTTATGCGGCCAACCACGAGTTGATAGGTGTTTTTGGCCGATGGCTGCCTATGGCCCTTGTGCTTTCTTCAATCACCCAACTCTTGGCCACTCAGCTCGAAAAGACGCGGGCCCCAACGGCTTCAAGGTGTCCTGGAGGTTGTGGTTTTCTCCATCAAGTTGTCTCTGGCCGGGTGTGCTGGGCCTAAGAACCAAGGGGCTACACACAAGATCCAATGCACAGAGATTCATCGTACAGTAGGTACCCGGATGTACCCGGTACCAGGCAAGTAAATGCCATGAACAAAATTCCTGGCGGGCGTGATGAACTGTGCACCATTTACTCAATTGCAGACCTTCCTTCAGGTCTGTTCCATCAAAGACAAAGAAGAGTTTTCTGTCAGAATGTACTCATGAAAAAGCTTTCTGCAGTCAAACCCACCGCAAAAAAGCCTCACCTCATCGATGTTAAAAACCGAAACGGATGCCGCCGCAGCGATGCCGGTGTCCAAGTCTGCGTGTTTTGGGGGAAACATGCATCAAATGCAAAGAAGAGAAGAAGCTAACAAGAAAAACCTGCAATCAACTCACCTTGAATCTCCCAACGACCACCCTTTTACAAGCTTTTGGTCGAGTGAAGTCCAAATCTTTCCACGTGCAGCACCTTTCCTTGCGCACGTCCACCAGGGTGCCTCTGGGACAGGCTTCTCGTCTTCGGTCTGTCCCAGCTCCGTCCAAGTTGTGTGGAAGAAAGAGCGGTTTGCATTCATTTGGGGACCAACACTGATCCTGATGGATTCCATCGGTCTAGTGGGACCATATAGGACCACCAACGATGGACGATGGACGAACTGTGGATCCAGTCTTGATTACCCTCCCACTCACTCAGACGGAAGTGGAAATCCACCTGTTTGTAAAGGAAAATGGTCTTGCAAGGGCCCATGTTCGGATTCCATGTTAGTGAGTCAGCTGCTTGGCTCCTTCTTCGGACTCTGTGGGACCTAAAGGCGATGCTCCTGTCCTGGCTCGCAGGGCTTCCTCCGCCGCCTCGCAGCGTTTCATTTCGCCGAAGCCGAGAGAGACGCCGCGCGCCCCGTCTCACCGCGGTGGTGACTGGGAACTGAAGTGTCAAGTGTCACATGTTGGCTGTTGTCACTTGCATTTCCGCCAGCCAAGAGGTGTGTCTCCAAGGAAAGACATCCCACATCCAACCCTTCTCTCCTCATCACACCTCTCAGCAAATCCGGTCACGCATCGGTCACGTTGACGGTCACCCCAGCTGCTTGTGCTTGTGCGTTCCTTTGGCGAAGTGGAAACCACCCTCCTCTTCAGAAGCAACCCGTGAGACTGTCTCCGTTGACTATGTTCATCAAAAAAAACAGAAAAAAGAAAAAGCACGACAAACTGGTCTGTCAATGGGATGACTGTGCGATCACAGAAAGAAATGTCATAACGTTCACTCGTCCGCCTCGAACCTCCGCATCGTGTTCACACCGTTGGAGATCGACACCGCCTTGATGTTTTCGTCCTCGACATCCACCAGGTCAAGGTCCACATCACTGGGGATCGCCACCTCGCCGCCACGATGGACGTCCGACCGTAAGGACGGTCCGATCCGGACGGACGTTCGGGTCGCGAAGGGCCTGGAGCGAGCGATCCGTCGATGGACTCGGACATCGTTGGACACCTTTGGACCCCAACGACGAGGGGTTCGCCCCAAACGACGGGGCGTCGCTCGACTTGGCGTCGCTCCACCGGGGCGTCCGCACCAAGAGTGGCAGCCACTCAGTGATGTGCCGTAGCCTCAGTCGCTCGGAAGCCACCGGTGCGACCGGTTCCGAGTCGAATGAGCGACCGGGGCTCCACCGCTGTGGGACGAAGAGCTCCCACTGCCGGGTGGAACAAGTCCACCACTTCAAAAGGGATTCTGGCTTATCAATGAATCAAAAGGGATAATAAATGGCTGTATGATGTTCTAGATCATTATATACATCTGCAGTTATATTATGTTATATTCTAGGATGATGATCTCAGACAAACATGAATACCGAGCAGGGAATAGGGAAGATGGCCGGTCTTGCCATGTCTTGCCTACGTGCGTAAATGGAAGGCAAAACACGATCAAAAGGCAGCGTCTACTCCGAGACATGGGATCCTCTTGCCGAAGCCAACGAAGCCATTGGTCCGAGCCGCTGTTTTGTGAGCTCCTCTGCCGTTGGCTTCTCCTGAAACGTTTAAAAGCCATTCTCTTCACCCCAACTCTTCACCCCAAAAAGACTACTTGGAGAGCCACTATATTGTGTATGGGATGAGAAGACCAACACTTCACTTGGAGCAGAGAGGAAGCTTTTCACACGTGTTCCATTCCATGGCAAGCGTGCGCGCTCACACCAATCAAACCAAAACACACCCCACACCGATGGTCAATTCCAAAGAATCCAGTGTCAAACCAGTCCAAACTGAACCAAGCATAGGGGCCCATGTTTTCCAAGTGTTCTCTTAACTGGCAAGGACAATATGTGTTGATCATAACATAGGCCTATAGAGGTAGATGTTCTTCACCACTTCGCTGGTTTATTGGTGATTGTAACTCGTAGAATGATATGCTGGATGTTTCGCACCCCCAGTTTCTCGTGATCGTTTCTGGTTTCAGCAGTTCCGATGTCGGCATCCGGGGTGGACAGGCGCCCTGGTCGAAGACCGTGAGATCCAACGAGGTACAGGAGACAGACCCGGTCTCCACGTGTGCGGAGACTTCAGGAGATGGCCACAAGACATCTCGAAGTCGCAAAAAGGTCATTCTGGAGTCAGCTAGTCCTTGACATTGGTGGGGCTGGCTAGTCCTGCAAAAGCTTTAGACTTCAGGCTTCTTAAGTCCTTCATTGTGGTGGTAGGAAGCAAAACATGACCAAACCACCAAACCATACCGTTTGACCATTTGCAGGAGCCCGGAGGTTTCTCCTACGGCCACATGACGAACTCATCAAAAGCCACATCGGTGTGATTCGGAGGCACTTAAGAGTTTGATTGCACTCCGCATGCTGGAGAACACGAGGCAAAACCCCTGCAGCAAAAAGCAGTTCAAGGTGAGATGTTGTCCAATTTCTATGACAAAAGAAAGGCTCTTAGTTGCGGAACAGTGAAGTGCTTCCAACAAAAACACTTGCCACCTCCTCAGTTGAATGTCTAGATCCTCTGGTTCCCCTCCCACTTCCAGCGCCCCAGACCATGGACTTGAATGTCTTTGTGAAGACCTGACGAGGTCGACCGGCCAGTCGTTTTGGGGTTTCGGTCATCCTAAACAGGTAATAGGCCGCTTCACCCGCCGTGTCTGAGTCTGTGATTCTTGAATATGATTGATTGCTTTTCTTACTCCGATTGTATATCTAAAGAGTTCACTGCGCCTTGTTGTAAACAGCTGAATGCGATTAATATGTGCTCGTGAACGCTCTGTGAATGCATTATGACCAGCAATGCTTCCCCTTCCATCATGAGCGCGAAACTATTCCATGCACACCGAAGCGAACTGCAAACCCCGCTTCCCAAAAGATCGTCGCGCCATGCTGGTTGCCCGAACTCCGGTGCGACGAACTCAGATGTTTGCGGGAACAAGAGAAATGGCACAGGGATTCAAGGTCTATCCTCACAAGCTAGGATTCGTCCTTGGCCTGGATTTTGGATATTGGATGACAGCATTCTGGGACACATTCAAACTATGGAAGATATGGTGGTAAAGGGGTGATGTGTATTAATAACTATGTACTGCAGTATATATAATGTTGCTCTAGTTCACACCATTGCGAACATCTTCTTTGTCAGTCTCTGTTTCCGTTCCGGATGCTTGCGATGAAGGGCCCCTCATCGAAATCCATGGTGGTAGAGGGTCAATAAAGGATGATGTGGTGGTCTGGCTTCGAGTGGTCATTCGGGTTCAAGCTCCTGTGGCCATTCGGAGGGGCTTCGCGGCTTCAGAGCCCAAAGCAAAGTCTCCTGCTCCCCGATGCTCGTCCCGAACTGGCACCCATCCCTCATCAAACAGGTCTTCATGTGTCAAGCCTGCCTCGGGAGTCTTGGGGATGCTGTCGGTAGAACGAAAACCACAGACCAAGGAGCCGGCACATGAACATTCTGGCAGGCATAATCTTGAAACCACATATGAAAGTGCTACTGTTACAAAGGACACTGTCTTCCAGTCTAGTGTTAGACTCTCCCTTGGTCTACCAGAGTCTACCAGGGGTGCAATCCTTCCACTGGCCATGTGAAGAACCTTGGCCCGTAGCACCCGCACCCACATCACTGGGAGCCCAGGCAGGGCATTCCTGGCGCAAGTCATCCCTCCCTTTTTTCCGTCCGTTTTGGACCAGCCCAAAGTCCATGCCGTTGGAGCGTGGATAGTGTTCTTCTTGGCCCATGGATGCCCATGGCTTAAGTCAGCCAGTTGACTTCCGAGGGTCCAACACTTGACTTAGTGGTTTCAGAACCTGCCCACATGGAGGTCGAGGAATTCAGAAAGGGCTCGTCACAGCAGTTCCAGCAACTCTTAGTGCTCCAAACGGTTCGGGGCCGGCAGCTTGAGGTTTGCTTCACCCTATGGCTCAAACGCACTCGTGGAAGGACAAATAAACCCAAGCCTTTGGGGTCTGGGTATAGAACTCATCCGCATTCATACGTTTTTTTCATAGAATCAAGTACTGGAGCATCAGAAAGAATCTCCCAGGGTCCCATAAGTAGAACCCCTCGCGCCAGCATTCCACACAGTGCCCCCCCGAGCTGCGCATGCCGCGAGCTGCGCCTGTTTGTTTTGGAGCTCCTGCGCCGGTGCGAAGGGCGAAGGCGGAGTCATCGGTCCGCTTTCGGCCCTCGTGTTTGATTCCAAGACAGTTTGGGGATGGTCACCGGGTAGGGGACTGGAAACGCCCAAGTCACTTAAGTCACAGCCAAAGGTCTGGGCCCCTGACAGAGAGAGAGAGAGAGGTTGAATGCGAGGGAAGAAGAGCACAAATGTTCGGTTGATCACAGAAACTTCTCATATCTTAGCATCCCAGTGAACTGTGTGGGGTGTAAGAGTTCGTTCAGAAAGCTACACAAGATTCCGGCAGTGCTTCGACTTCCTGAAACCACCAACGCCTTTGCGTGAACGAGTTCACGAGTCACTGACAAGTGGAAGGATGCTGACAACTACAGGAGGTCGAAAGAACGACCGAGAAAACGGGTCGGGCGGGGAGTTGACTTCCGGAGAAGAACAGCGATGGAACATAGGGATTCCAAATTGGACCAACATGTTTCATCTTCTGGACGAGTTCTATCAATTTGTTGCTTTCTAGGGGCTCCAAGGGATTCCACTTTCGACCCTGAAACCGGATCCGCCTCTGCCGCTGCCCGGCAACCAAAGCCTCGTTTCTGGGAAACGATGGAACTCGGTGGAAACGGTCGCTGGGTCGGTGGATGTGGAGGGCTGACTAAGAACCTGAAAAAACCGGTGGCTTGTCTGAAGGAGCTCTGTTGGTTGGATGTCTGAAGAAGATCTAAAAAATAGGTAGATCTATTTATATAAGTTAGATTCAGAGGTTTAAGAAGGAGGGAACATGGAACATGTGTTGAACTTCAATCGAAGAAAGCTCAAGCTCAATCCACAGTGGATGTTTCAAGAGATTGGATGCTATGTTCGACCAGGTGAACTCTTACAGGTTGAAGTTCAGGGTCTTGTTCACGGCAACCCTAGTGAAACGCACCTCCAATCCAGTCCCATTTAAAAAGGAGCTATATAAATGGCTAGCTTGCAAGCTGCACACCGACTACGTGGTAGAAGGCTGCTCCCCCCGATCGGTCCCGATCGGGCCGGCCAGGGCATGGTCCGGTGCGGTTTCATCGGCTTTAAGATATGTTCGATGTGGTCCGAAGCTTATTCAGGACCTGGGAACCATGTCCCTACAGTATTTCCACTCATCTTCCTCTAAACTGGGACAGGACTTTCAACCCTTTCACCAAATGAACATAGTATTTTTTTTGTTCCTCCGAGAGTTTTGCGCTGCTGGAACACCCCAGCTGCTCATGTTACCCGTCCCTTGATCACCGTGAAATACGCATCGAACGTGGCTTGTCAAATAGGGACCTGGTTCCTTGGCCTCGTTAACAAAGCCTTAAGCCTTGTCACCTTTGAATCCGACCGGTCTGTTACGTGAGACTAGGCAAACTCCACTCTGCAAATCAAATTGAGTTCATCAGACACGACGTCCCAAGCTGAGGAGAGACTCCGAGTTCACAAGTGTGGTACATCTGGAGCCGAGGAGGCACTGTTCAGTCCAAAGTGAGGTCCTAATAGAGGACTTCGGACTTGCCCTACTAGGAATATATACGTGTATATATATATATATATACGTCTGGATGGCCTGCTATGTATTGTGGTTGGGAATGTAAAGAAAGAAAAGGGATGGATTGAAAGTGTCGCAAGAAGTGTGGACAGAGCCCCCTATCATTTGCAACCCAAAAACTTCAAGTATGTGCCACATGCAACCCTTAGCAAAATATCTATTGCCTTGCCAAAAAGAAAACCTCTCAGTCTTGCCCGGCCAAAGGCCCGTTGGGCTGGCACCGAGCCACGGCCCGCTTCTTCACCGAGCCACGCTCGAAGTCGGAGTCGCCGATGGAGATCAGGCTCCGCCAAGTGCCTCCAAATCCGGTGATTTCACGGATGGAGGAAACCGGGTCGGTTCGGAGGGGGAGTCCATCCAAGCAAAAGGGAATCCGGTAGCGAATCGTTACCTATCTAGTGTAGGGCCAAGGTAACCTCTTTGTGGTCAAAAAGAACAAAAAAACAATCTTCATGGACATCCACTGGTCAAACGCACATGGCTTCCGCACAAACCATCAACTGGTCAACTTTCGCGAACGGAGGAGGTTGCTGTCTACGGAATGGGAGGTTGCAACATGTTGCAACCGGGTTGCTGTATGTATAGTAAAGTCCAAAACAAGCACAAAAGTAAATATGCTGAAGAGCTTGCATCTGTAAAATAAACGTCCTGAAACTATCTTTTGGGGTCTTTTGGGGGACTACAGTGGGGATTACATATTCAATCATTCATCCATGACGGGTCCCTTCAAAATGTCTTGTACATCGTGAAACTCTCTGTTTGAGGACAATGATATCTTGCTTGGAATGCTGGGTCAGTCAGTTTAAGGCGTATGCTTCGTGGCTTTGCTTCATTGCTACACCAAGCGGGGCCACTTTCTGGCCACTTTCATGCATCGGCACGCTCTCTTCGCAGAAATCTGGACAAAGATTCTGTCATCCAAAGTTGACCCAAACAGTTGAAAGCGGGTTGGAAGATGGAATGAAGATGTCGAAAGCCCAGACAGTCTTCCAAGCATCTTCAAGCGTGGCTGATGTGGCCCTTACTTACCCCCGATAGTACCACCCCAGCCAACAAGGTGCCCACCTTCGCTACAGGCGGAGGTAATGGCCTGACGGTCACGGCATCACTCCCAGCTTTCATGAGCACGATCTGGTTTTCAGGCATTTTCTCGGCCATCTTCTGGGGAAAGATGTCAAATAGGACTAGGACACTGAAATCCCTGGAATATGCCAGTTGAAAACAGTTGGAAGAACAAGATATCCTTGAGAAGTATCAACTCTCAAAGAAGTGGATGTCAATCTTCACTGCCAATTTCTTTCAAATCTTATGGCGGACTTGCGCGGCAAGGCACCAAATAAAGTGTTACTAGCACAGTCCCTGCAAGTCAGTTCTGGGACCATCCAAACATCAACATGGAACCTGACATATTGCCATATCTATGCCCTGGCAAACAAAAAAGAGTAATAAATTCAAGCCACCAGCCTGGCTGGTCTTCAGGTTCCATGGAGTTTCTTTAAGATGGCTGCACAGGTTCCAACGCCCAAAGCGCTAGCTGCACAGCGTTCGGGCCCTTGTGCGCCGATTTCCGGCAGGGTCGGCGGTGTCCATGTCGGCAACACGTCGCACCGAACGAGCCCGACCAGTCCACCATAGCTCAGCCACATGTCAGTGATCACGAGCTGGGAGGACACACCCAGCGTCCAGGTCGAAGGTTCGGTCGTTTGCTCCCAAATCTCCCGGAGTTTGGGCCGCCTGAAAGATGCGATGACCCAGCCAAATCCATGAAAGAGGATCACCCAAACCCCAACCAACCGCAAAGTGGCTTGCTTTTCCGCGGTGGAACCGGACTCCGCGGCCGCCTTTTTCCTCGGCCCCGTGGGTCTACGTGGCACGGAGCGGTCTTGGCTTGGCCAGACACGTCCGGGCCCTGCAGTCGAGATCCTCTCAATCCTCTCAGGTGACGTTTGGGATGAGAGTGGCGAGGCAGGGCGAGGCTGAGAAAGAAGGGGTTGGGCTCATCCGCGAAGTGAAGCAAGCAACAAGACACTGTTGGATAGGCAGGTGCTTTTCGTTTGACCTCTGCCTGGCCAGTCCTACTATGTCCTGCTTGTCAGGCAAAACATATGGACCACCTGAGATGCACATGGCCCAGTTCGGCCTCAAAGAAAGCTATGGCTGGCGGAAAACAAGTTGATAGCTTCTAATAGCTTCTATATGCATATAAGTATGCATATATGTCATGCTTCTACCAAACGTTGCGGCTTCTAGAACCTTTCGATCAGCATCAACAGTTTTGGGGTGGTTCTGATGCCAAGGTTTGTACCATCTGCTTTGGATCGGCGATTTGATCACACGTGGCACATCATGGACCCTGTCACTATCATCGACTTTAAGCACAGAAATCGGCTTCATATGTTCCTGTACCAAGTCTACATGCAAGCTGCTCCCTTCGCCAGTCACCCTCATCCCGACGTGGTGTCCTTGGCACCTCTCACTATCCTCCCCAGCTTGGCCGCTCGTCCCCTGTCGACATCCGGCATGTGCGCCCCACATGCGAAAACGCTCTCAACCGTCGGTCCGAAATGGGTTTCACGTTTTTTCCCGTCCATCGGTCGTTGCACCGTCCCGAATTGGATGGAAACCGGCATCCACTTTGAACATATGTTGGTCGCAACTCTGGCGAGTCCGAGTCCAGCCACTAGAAGAAGCAGAGTCCGAGTCCAGCCCGACCAGTCTGTGACAAGTCTTACAACGCCAAATCGTCACTCCGGAGACATGCAAGATAAATGGAGTGTGTTAAGGCGTGTTCAGCCCGTGTATACCCACTATTCAGCCTTGCAAGGTTGAAAATGATAGAAAATGGTTCCTTTCTACGAAGGCTTCACGAAATCCACCATCCCAACCTGTTGCAATCTCAATCGCAGTGGTCCTTTGAAGGTCTGAAATCTTCTGGATTCTTGGACCCCCAACTAGGAGCGATCGGACGCTACTAGGACTCCTGGCATCGCTGACAGGAACAAGGACGCTACTAGTAGCAAAGGGCATCGCGACTCCAACGGAGCGATCGGACGCTACGCTACTCCAGAGATTCCAGTCACCGTCTTCACCCAGTCTTCACCACGGTCCGCCCCACCTGGTTCCCAAACGGCTCGCACCCACCGCTCCCCGTCGTCCCACCGCAGCACGGCCGGCGGGCCCGGGCGAAACTCGGCCCGGGAAAGCGACCGGTCCTCCTGAGAAGCCGAAGCCGAAACCGGAGAAGCCAGGCGACCTCCTTTGGGAAAAACCTGGGGACCTGAGTACTACGAAAAGCATGGGGAAAGAGATTGATCTGCAAAAGTCACGAAAAGACACGTTGCACCTGTCGCCAGCCACGACATGCCAGGCCTGATGCCCCAAGTTCCATCATGCAAGGTTCAAGAGAGGACAGCTCTGCGCTGGCACAGTCCCCATACCATCCACACCCCCAGGTAGGTCAATAGGCTGGTCTGGCTACTGGAAGAGGGACGCCAACCGTGCTCGCCTGGCCCATGCTCGCCAACCAGTGAGGCGGCGTGCTTCGATGGTGCAAAGGGCTTGCAATAAGGCCAGAAGAGGATCTGCTTGCCCGCCAGGCACGGTTGGCACAAATCAACACAAAATGAAAACGAACATGGCACTTCACCAATTCACCAATCACTTCACCAAATCATTGCACATCATCGCATTTCCATGCATGTACTCTTCGACATCACAAAATACATCAAACCCTCTAGCTTTACAGTATCCATTGTGAAGCTTCCGCCTCCTGGTATCTAATATACATGCCGGGGAGGCTACCTAAGGGAAATCCATGTGGGGGTCACCGCGGTCACTGTCGAACGTGTATAGATCGAATTAGTCTCCAAAGGCAGAAACTGGGCCGAACTCCAATAAGAACATGTAAGAACAGGTTTACACTCAACAACAGCCGAGAAGTTGGCGAGAGCCCACTAATTCTGCAACTTGTTTTTATCTCTGTGTAGACTCCCTGCGAAAGTCTCAAAGAGTGTTGCAGAAAGAACTCAAAGCCGGCTTCAGTGGCAGGGCTTGTCACTCAAATGCTCACAATGGTGTGAAAGTTCTTCAGACCGTTCACCTTCAACAGGTCTGCATCTGTGTGTCGACAGCTCGCTCATGGAGTCAAGTCCAACTCACTAAGCGTTTCTTCGTGCAAGGCCATTTGCAGTCCTCGTGCAGCTGCACAATTTTGGACTTAAACCATTTCTTGCCTCACGCGGTCCCCAATTGTGATCTCCCACCGGCAATGAGAAAAAGATTGCCTTCGTCTGAACATGACTGAAACTTCCAGCAGGTGACATCCTTGGGAACCCGGGTGGCAGGGCAGAGATTTACAAACGAACATGTCGTCGTGTGTTGCAAAGGTTTCGACTGGAGCCAAAACTGTTACAAGCGGCCAGCCACGACATGCCACATTTGTCGAAACAAACCTTCAGCCGATCTCAGCGTTCACATCTCTACTTTAATGTGTGTCCGGCCAACCGCCCTCACAGACCCTCACAGACCCTCACGTTCGAGCGGAAAAAAAAGCACAACCGGCGGCTCTGTAACACCGTGTTCCGCGACCGGCGGAGGTTTCAATTGCTTTCGTTGTTTCTTTTTGGGTCCTACTATTATTGCTACTAAGGGCTGCTTGTTGCCCAACTGCCTAGCACCCCGGGTTCCGATCCTCGCACCGCTGGCCAGTCCTGGGAGGTCTCTAAAACGACATGGCCTCCAGGAAGGATTCCTCCCAAGCTTGCGAGGCTGAAAGACAGCCACAGGCGTCTGTGCCGGGACCATGGTCACCCGGGTACCCTGTGAGCCCCTTCACCGGCGGTACAGAAAGGGTTGATGCACTCCAAGATCAAACTAACATCTGCTAAGGAGCGCCGGAAAGCAGCCAACCAACCAATAAGTCAGCCAGCTGGTGGCTTTTGTCTCAGAAAAAATACCAATCGAATTGGATTTCATTCAGAAGACTGCCCCTTATCTGATACGCTTACTTGTGAATCACCATCACCAGGTCACCACGGTGTTTTTTCGTGGATCCACCACGTGAGTTCAAAAAACTGCTTAACCAAGAGGGTATCCCAGCCGGGTGCGAGGCTGAGCAAATGCTTTGGGGTGCCCAGGCGGTTGGGGCAAGATGGTGTTCCCAAAGACTTGGATGTTCATCGAAAACACACCTGCCAGGTGCAATAGAGAGTCCCTGCCCTGTGTGCTGACGATGATGACAATGAGAACAACCCCTGATTTGAAACAGTGATATTCACTACTACTGGTGTACAAATGGCTCGAGCAGCCCACCTCTCATCCGACACCTCTTCATCGCCCCTGACAGGTCCCACCCCCAAATCTGAATCACCACCCCATCACCTTCTCTTTAAAGAAGCTCGAACATGCTTGAACAACCGGGTCCCAATTTCCTGTCATATCATTTCCGGGTCCCAATTTCAGTAGACCTCTCTACCGGTCTCCCATCCTGATCATCACTTCCTCCCTCCGCGCCTTCAGCTGCCTGCAAACGACTTCGTTGCGGTGCTTCCTCCGTGCCATCCGCCGCCCAGCGGAGCCAACCGTGGCTGAAGACCCGCCCCATGCGCTGCCCATCGTGGCGGCTCCAAACGCCTTCCCGGAGGCACGGTGAGACGGCAGGCGAGGGAGGGTTGCTGTCACATGGCTGTGGGTCATAGCACCAGACCTGAGAGGGCACCACCTACGAAGGTCAAGCAGCGACCAATGGTGGACTGATCGGGCACCTCGTTCGGTGCGACCCATCCCCACACGGCTTTCTTTCCGCTCAAGAGCTCAAACAGCGGTTCGGGGTTCGGGGCATGCGCCATCCATGCGAAAGTCGTCAACTTGCACCACAGCTGGCTATCTCAATTTCTGGCACGGTACACTCCGGAAAACTAACTTAGACCCTGACAACGGCTCCCTGGAAGAGTGTTGTCCTCTACCAACCAGTGGTTTTCAGGGTCCATGGGATCGTCTTCCAGGGTGTATTCCCACTGAAAGGTTCCGAAGTCCCAGGGACGCTCCTCCTCCGCGGCGAAACGGAACAGCGGGGCAGCGCGGACCGCGGCGAGACCAGGAGCACCTACTCTCAGCTAATAAATGATCGTGAAAGTGGATGGTGCCACCTGTTTGGTATTCAGAAAATGGTGGTCCGAAATCGGGGCCCATCCAAGTAACCACAAATGGATCTCTCCAAACCTCCCAGCTCCCTCCATCCATGGTCCCTCCATCCAAATCCTCTCGGACGGCTGTCAACTGCAAGAAAAGAAGTAGCGTCCTTGCTCCTAGTAGCGATGCCCTTTGCTCCGTTCGTAGCGTCCTTGTTACTACTAGTAAGGCACTTGTTACTAGAAGCGATGCACTTGTTCCTAGTAGCGAACATCGTTTCTAATATATAAAGACTCCGATTTCCACTGCTGGCCTTGGAGGTCATCCCGATACCACTCAGTGCCGTCATCCCAGGAGATGCTCAAGGGCTTCCGAGCGTGGTGGTACTCGGCACAATAGTCCTCGCTGTGGATGATGGTACTCGCCCGCCCGAACCATCGAAAGCGACAGGGAGGGAGGTCAACTATGGTCCACCGATCTTTTGGAACCTGTGAGCTCCAGGTTTTGATAGAACCAATCATTTTCACCCTTTCACTGGTGATCAACGTGATATTTTGATCAGCCGGCGCTGGAGTTTGCCAGCGTTTCAACCGTCTCAACCATCTCAACGTGGCTCTTCCTCAACACCTCGTGCCTTCACCATGTCATGAAGGACTTCATGTCGCAACCCAGTCCCCAAGGCCGTCCTGACCCTGGTAGTTGATCGTCATCTGTGGACCAAGCACTGTGGTGCCACCATCATGCCAGTGGATCACGCCATCCTGCAGATGGCACAGTCTTTTCAGGAGCGAACATCTTGGATTGGCCAGGTTCAGCTAGAAGGGATGAAAGCATGGTGAACTTTGACACCGGAGCGCCTCTTAGGCCCGGGAAGAGGGGAATGATCTCTGACAGAGGCGGTAGTTGTACCACCAGCGTAGTGCTGGACATCCACATGATGCCATTTACCAGAGGATCCTGGAGATTGAACTAAAACATCGAAATCCATCATTCATCGTTCAATTGAGCTGATCCTGGTCTGGCCGGTCAACGACTAGCAGTTCTGTCCAGGGTGAAACGGAATAATACTTGCACCTTCCAACCACGGCATATTACAAATCCTGCTAGTTGGGAGGCCGAAATTTGGAATCAAAATCGCGACGAAAGTTAGGGACATCCACGTTGCTCGCTGCGTCACCTCTCTTGCTTGCTGGCAAAACCCTGCTTTTTGCGAGTAACACTTCCCAAGAGACAGGAAACAAACGCAGAAATGGGAGATGCGCTGGAGGGAACTCTTTCAGGACACCATGCCACTGGCAACAAAACCTTAAGTTTGACAGGATCTCAGAAATAGTTTAGCCTCTGAGGTTCTTCTTGCACTACTTTGTTGCGACTCTTTACGTGGTGTTTTTGGGTGGTGCCTAGGGGACGTCCTTACCTCACCTCAGCGGTTCATACCACCAAACACCCCGGCACCCTGGGTTTCATTGCTGCTTGCTGAGACACCGCGCGCCCGTAATACGGGTGAGTCAACGATGGTCCCAAAGAACCCTTGGGGGGCATTGCTCACCTTCAGGGCCTTTCGTCGATTGACTCGCGCGCCTGAATGAAGCACTTGAATCTTGGAACTCCATCGCAGACCTGGAAGTCGGCTCGGCGGCTCGGGGGATGTGGATGCATTTCCCTGATCTCCACCAGGGGGTGCACAAGAATGAGACTTCATGTGATTACTCTGAGTTCTGTTCAAACTTAAGAGAATGATTCATCTGAGAGATGTATTGATTGCAGTATCCTTTTCTTCTCTGGGGCACTAGCATCATGGCTTCAACAATGTGTCCACACTTCCGCGTGTGAATGGGCTCCCACATTGACATGTTGTAAGTTGTATCTAAAGTCTGAGGTGATTACTCTGTTAATTCACAATCAAACCCACTCGATCTTTGGTCTCAAAATGACCCTTCCACCTTACCACTTGGTGTTCGAGCTGTTCCACCAAAAAGAAAACAAAAAGAACGATTCGAAGTTGGTGCCCTATAAGGTCAAAGAAAGTCATCAAAAGTGGTCAGTAAGTCTTTTCCTATCCCCAAATCGGATAATTTCCTGAATGGAGGTGGAAAACCAACAAAGCTCTGAAAGCTTCCACAAAACGCACCCTTGAACATCTCCACCCGCCCCCTATTTGGACGTTCATGTCACTGAATTCTCACGCCCACATGGGGACCACTCAAAAGGTAGGACTCCAACGGCGCTCCCTCCGTGAGCGACGGCGCTCCATCGCCTCCAGCCAGGTCCCAACCACCTCCGACCTCTCAAACGGTCGCGGAACGAGGCGCACGGAGAAACGGGTGAAACAGCGATGGACGAGGGGAACCCCGCGTGGGAACACGAATATGTGTAAACAAATTGGTATGATTTCTGAGGTGTTGGTATGAAAAATATGTAACTTGGCTTGTTTTTTTCAATGCTTTGCAGTACTCATCCTACTCCGTTCTCACCATGAGGGTGGGGGCCGTGATGGGCAGGACTTGCGTCTCCTCGGGGTGTTCTCTTCGTCTCGGTCCCACCTTTGATGTGTACCATGTGGCCCGTTTTCGGCGTTTTCGGTCTCCGAAGCGGTTCTTGCACCTCGACATGATTATTCAATCCTCAAAAAGTATCTCTAAGATTCTCGAAGTACAACAGTAACTTGAGGAGTCGGGCCGTCTCACGAACAACTCATCGATGTCGCCGTCTCTCGAAGTACAACAGTCTACGACCTTGAGGAGTCGGGGTACACGAGTCAACGACTTTGAGGAGTCGGGCCGTCGTCTCGTCTCACCAACCACGATATAATCGATGTCGCAGGACAAGCGCCCCCGGACCTGCAAGTGGGTTCTCCTGTGATTTCACCAAGGTCAGAAAACGATGGAACCCTGACTTATATAAGCCAACAAATGAATGCCACAGATCCCACGCCTCAGATCGACCACTTGCACTGTCTCGGGCGCGTTCACCGAGCAGCTGCAGGGATTCCCCATGGCGCCATCGGCACGGCTCCGCGGAGCTGCCCGCGGAGCTGCAGCGCAAATGGGATGGGATGAACCGGGCTGGAGGATGGGGTCAGATGGATTGGATCGGTCCCGGTCCGGTCGTGTCCGGTCAAGGTCTCGAGACCCCAATTGCCTTCGGAGGCCTCTGGGGACGTGCGTCGGAGGCCAAGGAGGCCAAGCTAAGATGGCGAGACGCGCGAACGAAGCTTGTAGGCGGCGAACGTGACTGCGTTCCAAAGGTGAAAAGGTGACCTGGTGACTGTGATCCAATCTCATTGTAAGTTGATCAGTTGTTCAGCTTTTTATTGAAGCCATCACGGAGAGCCTCAATGTCTTGCGGCATTGCTCATTGGAACAAGCCCTGCAGGTGCGGCAAGTCCGGTGCACGATAGTTGGCATCCAGGATCCATCTTTTGCAAGAAGCATCGTGCAATCCACCGAAAGGATTCTCAAGTATAGTGGTTTCATGGCAAACCCCTACATGTCTCTTTAGATGGGAGTCCATACAACTTTGGGGGGGGCCCTTGTGGCATCTACTCTCCATCCACCAAAATGTCCGCATGTGCGCATGTCTCAGCTCTGCGCTGCACATGCGGAAGCCTACCCTCCTTCACACGTGCAGGGCCTTCGGCTGGAAGCGTCGGGAGCATCTTCCCCAAGACCAGACTGCCCGAAAGACAAAGGGAAACGATGTGTCAAAAAAGAACCCATGAGGCAGCCTGGTGCCTAAGTGTGGTCTACATATATGTAATGTAACAAGAATACGTTCAGGGGGACTGGCTTTCAAAAAGGTCAGTTTTTTGCGTCACCCAAACTAGAGCCACTGGGCACGCCAGAGCCTAGAGATTTTGAGTGGTTGAAAGAACCTGTCAGTTTGAGAAATGTTGTCATTTTCCCATCAGCAACTGCTTCTGAACCGCAAAGAAAATGCCAAACAACTTGCATGATTGGCCTTGGGTCTCAGCTTTCTGGTCCGTTCCTTGCATGAATTCACCCACCCAAAGGAATGGGTATTTATATGTGTGACCCATGGTTTCACATAGTTTCACTTTGGTTGCTCAAAGGTCTGACCAGGGCGGCTCACCAAAGAAAAATAACACGTTCACCTCTGAACCAGGCATGACCAGCAGTCCCGGCCTCTGCTTTTAGTCTGCTGCTAAAGGATAACCTCAGCTGGTCAATCGCGAATTTGACACCCGGGTCGCCTTCGCACCAACCGCCCGGTCGTGCAAACAGCGTTTGGCACACCAACGATGGTGGAAACAAATGCTGGTGGAGCACCAGCTCCAATCCTCCAATTTGGCACTTCTGAGGCCTCCAGGGTGTTGGGTCTGACTGAGGGGTCTTCCGAGACCAATCCCATTTCATCCCCTTCTCTCCTTTCATTTAGAATGCCTCGAAAACTGAACCAATGGAGCTCTGACGTGATGACAACACGTGGCGCCACACCGGGCCCCTGAGGGCACGGACATGGACTCGCCTGGCTTCGCAGCCGAGGACTGTCTTCGTCTTCGGCCCATGTCCTACTTCTATCTTTGCAGGACTGGACAGAAGGTGTATCTTGAGACCCAGCTTCATCCCAGCTAAACAATCTATATAAGTATACGTATCTTGAGACCCTCCTTGGCGAAGATCATCTACCTTGGACCTCAGGATCACCCTCCATCAACATGATGCTCTTTAAGTTTACATGAAAACTAGTCATGTCAACTTGCTGTTCTCAAACTGATTCCTTGACTTCCCGACAACTTCAACAAAAGGGCCTCCTGAGGAGTCTTGGAAGGTGCATGTGACCTGAATGAAACTCCAATGTGTTCCTTTTTGTAAGTGAGCGAACGAAAACCTCCAAACTTAGGGTTTGGGCCTTGCAAAAGCACAGAAACGAGTTCAACAAAGGCGCACATCAAGTCTATCGACTACAATCGACTACCAACTTGAATACCTAAAGTTCTCCTGTGCCAATTGACTCTAGTCACGGAATTCATGAAGAAGCTGTTGTTGGTGCAGAACCTACCGGAACGTCCCAACCAGTTTGCCAGTTCCTCAACTCTTCGCCGTTCCAAAGCGAAAGACGAGCGACGCGATGGACGTCTGGTCGCTCCGGTTCGAGCTTCAAACCGGGGGGGCCAAAGCGACCAGGCCAACGGCAAACACCAGTTCCTATAGTGCCTGGGTTCTTGAAAAAGGACACCTTCAGGAATCCAACTGGAAAGAAATCACCTCGAATTGGATCGATTCGTTGGAATCAGCTACCACGGTATGGCGCGCACCATGCGAGGGTTTTGGGTCGCGCACCAACTCTGCTCTGCAAGGGCACCCTCTGAAGCGCGGGCCCAAACGCACCCCGCCGGCCCAAACGCCTCGTTGGGATGGGCCCTGGGCACAAATCACACGGACACCTGGGCGATGCGGGCGCGAAAACGGATGGGCCAAGGGCGGCGACACCGTAAGAAGAAGTTCCAACAAACACCCCCACTGATGTCACTCTACAATAGGAAGACCCAAGACTTCAAATTACACACCTGGCATGTGTGTTGATCCGAACATCCTGCGGCTTGGAAGTTGACCCGTGGGCCTCAACACACCCGACTCAACAACTCAACAAGTCTCATTTCTGAAGAAATCGGTAGACCTCACTACTTATAACTTATAACGAATTAATACATATTAATACTATATAAATATTTTGTCACGGTTGATAACAAAAGATAACCAAAGGACTCCCCATCTAAAGATGTTGCTCCTGGACCCTCCCGCAGCTCACAGGGAGAAAAATATGGAGTCCACCACCCCTCCGGAACGGAACGGACCGCAACGGAGATGCCGAAGTACCGTCCTGATGGCCCGGACCAAGGGAGGTCATCATCTCCTGGCCGTTGGACACTCCGCGGAGGCGGCGCCCCAGCGTGCGCCGCGCGCCCCGGGGTCAGCCTGGCTTCGTTGCGCCCAAAGCGATGCGTTTTTCCGACGTGGAGAACTACGAGGGCCAAACGATGTCGAAGTTCCCAACTATGAACCATCAAAGGAGTCGAAGTTTTGAACCATCCCTGGAAGATGTGATGGCCGCACCTGCGAGCTGCCATCCCTCATCTCTTGTCCTTGAAAAACCGAACCCCAGCGGTTGCCCAGTCGTTGTGCCGAGCCGAGTCCATTTCGGAAGGGGTGTGTAAGGGAAATCTGTCTCATCGAGCGAAAAGCTTCCAGGGTCAGACGGTCTACTCATCTTGATGAACTTCACGGTGATAGTTGAGGGTGTATAGCTGGGGGCGCTCCCCAGCAACCTTGGGAGAGGAGCAACTGTTTGAGCGGCCCAACCTTGGCATTTCGAAGCTCTTCGAATTACCGCACCACCGACACCACCGACATTGGATCTCCGGATGGATTTCGTCCTCGTCCTCGGGGCCGTTCTCCATGCTATTCGGCCAGGCACATGATTCTTTTAGAAAGTGTACAAGCAAAAGCTCTGGATTGTGGCCATCACTGTCATCACTCCTTTGCTTCGAATGATGGTGCCCCGCGGGGCTCACCTCTCCCTCTCCTGAAGCCCGGGGAAGAAGTTCCGCGACGATTCCGCCTCAGACTCTCGGCCGAGGGGACCGGACTCGTTGGCCAAGTGAAGAGCCTGTGCCATGCGACATGACATGCCATGAATGGACATGTTGTTTTGAATCCTTCATGCCATGTCTGTGGGCATTAAGACATGATAGGAAAATCCATCACCAAAGAATGCCAAAGTGGGTATTTCGCTCATGGTGTGGGGAATAGATCGAAATAGTTCCCTTAAGTTGACGCTTCCCCACGGAATCGGATGTTTTATCAGTGCTTGTGATGCAGAAGGACGGGCTGAACTGCATGGAAATTCACCCAGTGAACCTCCACCATCCCACGACCGCCGATGCGGTCAAACTGGAATGACCTCCATGACGGACGGGAGCTTTTTCGAGGGAGACCTCACGGGATTTCTCTCTGGCCCAGCATGGTCTTCCAAAAAGCAAGTGATCAAAGAATCGTCAGTAGAGAGTAATCTGAAGCACAAGTGATGGAAGACGTTAAGCCACTTCCATGATAGTCTTCATCGGGAGATACATTTGCGCAAGTAGCCTACTTGGGTTCCCAGAAGGCTGCTACTCTTATGGAACACCACCAGGAGGTCAGACCTCCTTCCGGATTGTTCTTCGAACAGTATGAGTCGACGCCTGTGCTCCACTTCGGGTCGACGCTGAGCTCCCTGGCCACCCAGGAGTCCTTGGACAAGGTCACGATCATGACCTGCATTTTCTCGTTGTTTCACATCGAGGCGAACCGCGCGTTGATGGAGTGGGAGGGAGCTTGGGTTGTCGCCTGGTAGAAAGAAAGTCCTGGTAGACTATGTCACTCACCAGTGTGTGCTGAAAAACTGCCCAAATGCATTGGCAAAGGGATAGGTTCGGATCTCCCTCCGCAGTGTTGAAGGCCGAAGGTTTTCGCATCTTCTACCTCCAGGTGGTGCTTGCTCTCGTGTGACAGTCCGCCATAGACAACGAAAATATGAAAACATCCCCTGGTAGAAGATGTCCTGCAGAGCCATTCTATTTTGGGGAACTATATATATTTGGGTATATATATATACACAATGCTGAGTTGAGCATCATACAGGAAAGAACCTGGATATTTAGAAAATATATTTAAACACACACTGGTAGTACATCTTTTAGCAGTTCATGTATCGTGTTCTATCAAAATATGTGTTGCATTGACACCAGCCTCGCCCAAGGATGTGGCCAGCGATAGCAGCCTGGCCACCTAAGAACAATGAGCGTGCCAGCAGGGGACTGTGGCAGTGAGTCAAACATCTGTAGCCTCTCAAACCCCAATCGTAAAGAAAAGAATGACTGCCTGTGGAACTTCTTCTGGATCCATTCCCATACTGTGAATCAGTACACAGAAGTGAAAGACATGATGGCTACATAATTCCAAGCAGAAAACCCCAGGTGGTGTTCGCAAACTCGCAGGTGTTGGCTGGATTTGGGACACACACTCAGACCCCTTCGCAAACACCTGATAGGACTTTTTCGGGGCAGGCAAGACGACGCGACACGACCCTTCGCACCGTCCTTGATTCCGGTGGTCCTTCGGTCAGATGTTGTTGTGCCGGATTCATGTTTGAACAGGTTCCATGTTTGGATTAGTCCTGTAGTTCATGCAACCCCTTTCCAAGAGCCGACCGTTTTTGAGGAAACACATGTTTGGGTCGTCTCGAGATTTGTCGGGCATCGAATCTTAAGCTGGAGATCGGCAATGTGTCCCACAACCATGTTTGGGAATGAATAATGAATCGATGTGTGCGAATTATGTCACACCCCTCCTCCTATCCAACCATGACCCAACTTCACCGACTGCAACTGCTGGGCTCCCATCGAACTCCAGTTCACGAATCGACGTGCGAAACGGGCATTCTGTTAAGGCAGCGACGGAGAGTGAAAGACATGTTGGTTTGGGACAACTATTGCACTGCAACTCCTGAGCTACCAGTGAGCCATTCCAGTGAGCCATCAGCGAGCTATTTAAGCAATGATAGGCACCAGTGAGCTATCCCATCTGTTCCTCGATATCTGCAAGCGTCGCCCGTCCCGCCAGCCCCGCGAGAACTTGCGACACTTGCGAAGAGGCACCTCTTCCCGAGATGCTTGCAATTTCTTGGCCACGAGTGCCTTCATTGCCTGCCAAATACTCAAATCGGATGTTCCAAACACAGTTTGGGTTCAAGCGTTCATACACTTACTTGGGGTCCAATTCATGATCCATCCAACTGGACTGCACTCGCTTCTCACGGGCCCACGCCTCTGGAATGTTCTGCTCCTGAGGGGGCAGAACCCAGCAAGGCAGGGCTCTCCCCAGGAAGAAACATGAAACCCCAGCCTGAACAAGAAGCCTCAATGATCAAGTTCCGGAGTCCTCCTCTAGACTTAGACCTTTGCGGCAAGGGTCACGGCTCAGTGCTGATTAAGAGTCACCAGGCAGTGTCCCAACTCCAGAAACTGCGAAGCTCCACATGTGGACCCAGCTTGAAAGAAGGAGGTCAAGCCACTAAAGTTGCCGAGCCGAAACCAGAATCCAGGTGTTTCCTCAGTTGCTGGACCCTGTGCACAAGCCGAAACCAGAATCCTGCCCCTTCTTTCCCTAGGCTTCGGCGGCAAACCCGCAGCTCCTCTAAAGGTTTCTGCAAGTCTAGGTGAAGATCACAGTAGACCTGGCACGTTTGGTGCATGTCTGACAGGGCCACACAACTAGGGAACCTATGGGAACCCAGAGTTCTTCAAAACCTCCCCCGCACCGTCAGCGCAAACCCGTGGACCCCTATCCACGGTCTGGACCAAGTCTTACTTATATACTCGCGCTTTTGCTCCACGACGAGGTGTCTTTTGCACCAACACGACGTTCGGTGTCGGGCCCCGGTGACCGGTGACCGGTGAGCGTTCTCGGATCCACACAGCACCAAGCGGCTGCTGTGCCAAGTGGTGTGCATCGCATGGGTAGCACTGAAAAAAGAATGGTGAAAAGCAACACTTACACAGATGGGGCTCGGATCTAGTCTACCACGCACGCAGATCTACTCTACCAACCTAGAATCTAGTTGAGAACCAGCAACCCACCAGAAGCACAACAAAAAATCAAAACAAACAGAGTAGCAAATCAACCACAAACCGCAGTATCCCATTTGCTGTACAAGCTCCACAACTATGTGTGTTCATACAATAACATTCTTGGATATGTACCCCTTCATCGGGCTGTGGGCATTGGGCCTTCCGCAAGCTCCTGCAGAGCGGATTCCACCCATCAGGGGTAGGTGAGGGCCTAGAGTTATTCAACCAAAACATGTTTCAATGTCTTGTTTGGAATGTCAATGCTTTATAGATTGAATAGTCAGTTCTGAGAAAATCGTTGGCTGTTAATTATGTGTTTTGTGATCGAATGATATGTTTCTCCCCAACACTGGCAACAAAGCAGCACAGCCAGCCAAGCAGCAAAGCTGACTAGCGAGCCTCTTCTTGCATTTCGTTGCCTGGTGGGGTATGTCTTCTGCGTGTCCTTTCTTTTTCATGTTCTCTTACCAGTTCTAGCTTCTGTGTCAACAGCAACGACGACAACAACCTGGGAGTCAAGCGCTAAAGTCACGGTCAAAGCAGCACGGCGCAAAGCCAACCACCCCGCCAGCAGGCCAGCCAGTCTTTTGAATCAGTCAATCTAACCTAGTGGGGTATGTCCACTGATCCCAATCTTCAGCAACCAATCTTGCCACTCCACATTGGCAAGCGAATTGCATGCTACGGTCTTGCAACTAAAGCTTTAGGCTTCCTTGTTCTTTCATTGGCACTTTCCAGCGCAACCCTGCAAGCACGCGATGAACAGTTTCTCAACCTAATCACACATGTACTTCCTCTCGCCCAAAGCAACCGCTTCCTGCCAAAAGCAACAGAAAGTCCCAACCCCAGTGCCTAGTACTAGCAAACTTGTAACCTCGCCCGTCAGCATGAGGCCACACTGGAAGCAATTGATGATGGCACATCATTTACGAAACGTCTGGAAAGAACGAGGTCACAAGTCGTGCTGCGAGCTCCACAGAGCTAGAACACGCAAAATCCTTCTACAAATCTCTTGGATGTCCCTTCTTTTCTATTTGAGAACCACTACCCAACTAGAGTCACCGATCACTTCGATCGGGACGCACAAGCCCAGAAGAAGGGAAGGCCACACCGTGGAAGGAGACCGAAAAGACCTGACCTGACAGGGCCCCGGTCCCCGGGGGCCCCCGGCGTGGGTCAAAGGGAAGAGCGTGTCATCCCAATCCAAGACGATGCCGGTCCTGCGTGCGATCGAGGGACGCGGGGTTGAAGAGGGGCCACGGCAGTCCTGAGTCCTGGTGTTTTCCCGAGATGTGTAGAAAACAGAAAGAGCCTTCCTGGTACCATCTCATCCAGCATCTCACCCAGCATCATGTCGATAGACGCCAGACCGGCGTCTTTCGCCTGCTCCACGTGTATTGGAGCTTTTTGCCGAACGAAGCTGAGCACTGTTGTGGCCCATGGTTGTCCAACGGGAGTTGCATTGCTGGTTGTCATCACCACAAAGGGTGAGTAGGTCCCACTCCCTACGACAGAGAAGGATTCTATTCTAACAGAAGAGGAACCTTAAAAGACAACATACAGTAGTTGATAGACCCTTGCCGACTGTTAATTACAAATAAAGTCTTTGGACACATCTGGCTTGTTGCTTAAAGTCAACCAAGGACCAAGGTTAGACATGTTGGCAATGGGCTTGAACCCTTGCGCCCGAAACCAAACTTGGCCTGCGATTGCAATGATGCTTGCTATCCGATGTTCTTACTTTGCCCCAGGCAAGAGGACAAAAGCTTCATCCTCGTGTGTAGCGATGTAGTTCTCCAGAACCTTCAAAGTGACCTCTTGGGAGTCTCTAAGTGACCTTTAAGATGGATTAAGTGATCCCATTCTGGGATCTCAAAGCTTCACTTTGAAGGTCCTGGCTATTAAGGGCTTCCGAGTCTCTCCGTCTCTCCCAAGCAAAGCCCGGGCTTTCGGTGCGACCTTGGCTCTGGCTACCACGGCTTCGCTCGTTGCCCAATCCGTTGACTGCCGCTCCCGGCCTCCTATCTTGAGGTGAATCCGCCTTCCCCTGGCCATCCGAGCGGCATCTGCCGCTGGTCGACATGCTTGGGATTGCTGGACGAAGCAAAGCAATTGCTTCCCAATCTGCAATGACTCACTCACTACCGCACCCCTGTCTCTCGTGATCATCCACCCTAGTCAAGTCGGTCATGTTGACTTTTCTCTACTTTTTTGAGCCTGTCTATGTGGACATGGTGTTATGGTGAAATCAGACTTCGGGACATGCAGATTGTAGTTCCATACCCAAGCCATTCCCCCGACCTTCACCACTGGTGCCCTGGTGGGCAGGGTCCCCTCTGGTAGCGCAACTTCCTTTCCCGTCCACGCCACAGGATGGAAAACCCCCCCCCCGCGTTTCCGAAAAGATGCGGAAACGGATCTTCGCGAAAGGAAATGGATGGGATACCTAGACCCTCCCGAGGCAATTGTTGTTGGCCGTAGGCTGTTGAGGCTGTTGCCGTAGACGTTCCAGGTATTCGAGTCTAGACGAAACCACGGGTTCCTCGTTGCTAGGACGCTTGGGACCCTCGTGTTGCCTCGACCCCCACCTGGGCCAAGGAGTGGTTGCAGCTGCTCGACCTGTCGTTTCGCAACCAAGTTCGTGGGGAGGTGAAAATGGTCTCTGTGATAAGTTGAGTGGTGAGTCGGTGCTTCCATTGTTTGGATGGAATGGAGATATGAATGGATCAAGTGTCATGCTTTTCACTTTCCTCCCTCCCACGTCACCATGGTTTTTTGGAATGGGGTCGACCACCGCGCGACGAACTTCTGGAAAAGCTGAGAATCGGGAGGCTCACGAGCGCCGAATGGGTCGAGGGGGCCTCCTTCTGCTTCAGTGTCCGACTTTAAAGTGGTTGACCTTGTTCCGCCCGTTCATCTTAACACGAGAACACGAGGGAAAGCCTCCAAAAAAAGGTGACGGCTGCAGCCTGAGTGGGCTTTGAGAGGCGGTGCCAATGCGGTGCCATAATAAACCACAAAACCTTCAAGTACCCACTGTTTCGCTGTGCCACTCTGCAACGGCAGAAGTCATCTGCTGGACCCAATGGACCCAACGGACCTGGGCCCAACGGACCAAACCGACTCGGCTCCATCAGCCCACCTTGCGCAGGTCGGCGGGCTGCCCAGGTCTGGCACGTGCACTCGATCAGTGCCGAGTAAGAGCTTCCTTAAAGGAAACCTAAACATGACTGGTTGTTGGTCAGAGACAGATCTGTGAAATACCATGTTCAGCCACATCTCATAGAAACCTACAGCCACATATCCTTCGCATACATACCCGGAAAGCATTTGACACCTGTCTTGATAGGGAGAGGCCGTATTTGAATGGTTGGTACTCCAAACTCCAATATAAGGGTGACTCAGGTTCGATGGGGGTTAACAAAACGTCATACAACCCACTGCATCGTGCTTCTTGACAACTATGCACTCTACTGTGACATCACCTCTATAAAACACTACACTCCCTGCAATAATCATGGAACTGGAAAACCACCTGTTTGTGGAGGAAAATTGTCATCCAAGGGGCCATTGTCTACTTCCACGAATATGTCATATTATTTCAGGGAGTGTAAGTACTAAGTGAAACAACCACCCACTGATGTTCAAACACATACCAAATAAGGACCTCTGCAAAATGTCTGCCGAGGAAGCATCCCTGAAAGCCTTGGGCGGGACCCATCCAAAAGGCTCAAAAACTCCGCCCACTTGGCTATCCATGGACTGATGTGTCTCAACAGGTTTGGAGACTATGATGGGGGTACAACTAACAGTACGCCAGAACGAGATCTGGAATTTCAGTTACAACAAACAATAAACTCAAAAATCGGACGACCCAAATTTGGAAGGTCATTCTTGGATGCCAGGGCAGAAGACACTGAAACAGGTGTCTGAAGACACTGTCAGGTACACCCGGACAGCCAGAGGGGGAGAGTATATTTCTTATATTCTTAGGGGAGAACTTATCAGCAATGCCTTGGGTGCTGAATTCCAATGATCTGTCTCTGCTGCAGATTGAAAGGCGATGCTCAGAAAGCACGTATGTATATATATAGGTATATAGGGCGCGCGTGCTTTTCGGGGCCCCC